AAACCACAGCAAAACATTCTGCTGCAAAGACAAATGGCATTTTTATCTGCAGATTATACTTCTGATACCAACAGTACGTGCTGAGCAGCCACAAAACAAAACAAATCAGAAAATTACTGCACCCAAAATTTAACCCTTTTGTCAGCTTTTCTTCTGCTGGAAGAGTTTTTTTAATCCAAACTTTCCACAATCAGCTTGAGGTAGTTTTTCTGTTAAAAATCTATGCACTAATTATTCTCATCTTACTAAGTAGGGCACACAAAAGGAAACAATAAAATTGATCTGACAGTAAAATAGCTAGCTAGTCCATTATATGCCCCAAACACTTCACTAAATATCTTCAAATAAATGAATCTTACATTAAACATTAACCCCACCTGGTGCATATCTAAAAGAAGCTGGTCAGAGAGTACTGCCCTCTGATAAAAAGGGAAACAGTAACTGAATCCAGACTGCCCCAATTCACACTGAAGATTCTGATGGATATATTAAAAAAGGAAGAAATAAGCAACATAAGAAACTTCACTGTAAACTAGTTTTCCTAATATAATGTTTTGCTCTTAGCAGCCAGCTTATGGTCAAGAGTTCTCTGGTTTCACAATCTTTTAGGGCAGGGGAAAAAATAAAATAAAATTTAAAACCCAGCAAGAATATCACCTGGTATATCTACAAAGAAATTTCACTGAGATGACAAGTTAAATAAGTAATACATACCATATCATAATTGATTTTATTCTTAAAGATTTAATGATATTCTGTATATTTCTCAAATACACATCTATGCCTCCTTACTGCAGAAGACCATAATAAAACTTGTAGATCTCCTACTGTGTTGGAAAACAAAAGAAGGAAAAGGCGTATTCAGGCTGATTCATTATTAAATTATGATATGCATACAAAATACTTTTAAAGTATTGTAACATGTTTAATTTTTACTGCTTTATCTATGTAACCCAGTTAACTGGAGGCCATTATTCTGAATACACCCCTCACTTCAGCTTATAAGAAGGGGATTTAGAAGTTTTATTAAGCTCTGCAGTAGACCAGCAGAACTGATTCAGGATGCTCATTACTGTTAACAAATTCTACAGAAGTAAAGGATAGACACTATTTTCTGTGTGCTGTGCTTGAAACTTTATCATTCACAATTACCGTTCCCTCAACGCAAACCTCAACACAGAGACCAAGAAAAAAATAAAACATCTAAAGCAGCTCAGCTGCTGAAGCATCAGATGCTCAGCTGTCTGAAGCACCTATTAGACACTGAATTCCATCACACAAAACCATGACCTTTACATGGCATACACTATGACCATGGCATACAGTAAGAACTCATAACTAAAAGATTCTGAGAATGTACTGCAAGAGCAGGAAACATTAACAAAATAAAACATTTAACAAGAGACAAAGAGATCACACAACAGCTGAGCCAGAAGGGACCTCAATATTTTGTCAGAACAATCAAGCAAAATAAATATTTTCAATCTGTTTCTTCCTCTTATTACTGAGAGCTGGGCTACTTTCCATGGTTCATGCTTTTAGATACATAGACATTCAAATACTTCATGTTTTTCTCAAAGAAGTCCTTATTCTTTCAGATTGTTTTCTTCATGCTTAATTTCCCTTTCAATCCCACCCAGCCCAACAATTATGCCAAATTCGGAGCACTTTAAACTGAGCAATACTTCAATAAATAATCCTACAATGTAAGCCTGAGACATGATTCCTATAAGTACTTATCAGGATCTTCATAATGACTGAAGCCCATGATCAATCTGAATTCACCATTCTTTTCCAATCCTTACTGAACACCAAGAAAGTTTATTTATGTAATCTTCAATTGTCTGAAATGAAGCTGAATGGCCCTGAGAGGCTCATTTGTTTTGCTAGACTGCAGCTCCTAGCTCCATCTTGCTTTATACAAAGACTGTTGAAACTTCTGATCAAGTCACCTGTTTTCAGAAGTTGCCTTCACAAATATCACACAAGTTTGGTGGTAACTGTGTACCAGGACAGCTGAAGTAGTTCCTACCTCCTGCGATCCTCATCTCCTTGCAAAAACAGGGATGGCTGAACAGCTTGAAAACCAGTTCCTGAACTGCTAGACTACAACCCAATGTACTCATGAAAACTACCAACAGCATTATTCTACACATCTTTATTTATTAGACAGCATGCTGTTATGGTTCAGGAGGTATTTACAAACAGCTTGGCAGTCCCAACAACTTCTACAACAACACTTAAGCATTTAAACATTTAAGCTGAAATGCATCACAGTTTTATCTGCTATCAAGTATTTTACTTCCCAGAAAACCTGGAATAGTTCTTAGCTGGTTTTAGTCCCAAGCAGGTGTTTTTACTCCAGAATAGGAGTGTCTTGTCTCATTTCAGCTAACACATGTTAAAGCAGAATACATACAGCTCATATGAAAAAAAGGTTATTCTGAAACTGCTATTTGCATGTAACTACCCAAAAAGTACCCCCTAGTATTTTAAGACAAATAGGATAAACCAAGGACATTCTTCCTTACTTCATTTACAAGTAGAATTAAAAATTATACTCTTCAAAGAATCTAGAATTAGGAATAAAAATCTAAGGATTCTTGGTTAATGGATAATTGCAACAATTTAAAGCATATTACCTAAAAAAAGATTTTTCTCCATAACTGGTAAGTATTCGAAATTTTCGTTTAGATTTCTAAATGCTCAAGAAATCAGTTCCAAACATTACACCATTATTTGTTAGGAATTAGCTTAACTAAAACAAAAACAACATATGCTCCTCAAAAAGTAAGGGAAAATTTTACTGAATAAAAATGCAAATATGCATTTTAGCAGCCTTGAATTTATTAATCTGATAGGTTTAATTTCCATTTTCCTGCATCAGCTTTATTTATAAAGTGTCGTGCCCTATAAATATGCTGTTATTTTCTATAGTCAAGCACCCTCTTAACAAATCTTCTCATTAATATGTAAATTTAAAGTCAATCGGTCTTCTCTCTGACAGCGCCATGAATTCCTAGTGCACTGTATAATCGGCTTTGACTTGGCATCCACTATTTATCATCAAAGATGTCAGTTAGAAAAATTATGGAAAATGCACTGCAATTGATATGACTGCAATCTACTTTGTCAACACTTAATTGTTCCTCAAATCATACATTTACATATAAACAGCCTAAATACTGATCCATAATGATGCAAATAAACTAAATTAAAAATCTCTTCTACTGCACAAGATGGCCCGTTGTATGATGAGTTCATTTAAGAATGTATTGACAAAGGCATGCATTTCAACTAGCACCACAAAAAAAATCTGCTAATTAAATTGCTGAGTAGGTAGACAAACTAAATTTTACACTGAAGATCTTGAAAGTGAAAACAAAGTGTTATTAATACTTTACTACTGATGACTAATTTAAGGTTGGCACAGGCAGTATTTTCACACAAATCTTTCCCATTCCTAGAGCAGAAGCCACAGCAGCAACTGCCATCCACCCAGTTTCAGTGAAAAAAGATTTAGTCTTAAAGGAACCAAATCCCATCAAGAACTCAAACCTCTCAGTCAAAGACAGGAGGTCATTCTCCTCTTCAACTTTCCTTTCGTCCAATTACAGACTAAAATTGTATTGTGGGACTAAAGCTTAAGGTAAAGCAGATTATCAATTTTGATTCTCTCTAAATATCAGAGAGAAGAATGTAAGTTGCCTTCTTCCAATAATCAACATGTAATAAACACTGCCTCAAGGACAGTAGGAAAGCATAACTTAAATCTCTTATTATCTAAAAATACTTTCCTTATTTTAAGCAATGTTATGGGAAGATGTGTTCTTACAACCAATTTACTTTTCATAAAAAAGGAAAAAGGTGTTTCAGAATCTAACTAGTAGCCCATACATATAATTCTACTTCAGACTTCTATTTTTGCTATATTCATTATAATCCCTGTTTTTTTTAGAAGTTAATATAATCATAAACTAAATCAGACTGAACTGCTTGTCCAAATATATTGCCATACAATTATTTTCACACAATAAATTACACATATTTTAACACAGAATGGCACTGCATTTCGCTTTTTTCCATGCTAAGGATATTAAAAGACAGTTTAAAGAACTCAGTGATAGAGTGATAGTTGGTGTTATTCCCTATTCCAATGCTGAAAAAAGGAATCTTAAAAAAATTGTTAACGTGCTACTTATAAATGACAATAATCTGCACTAAAATGTACATTTTTAAACATGAATGAGTTTCCAATTAAATGGTAAAACTTAACACTAGTAACATCCCCAAGCCTTTAATAAACACAAATAACCAGACTTGTAGAGCAATTTTAAACAGTTCTTTCCAGAAGTAATCTTTTAATTTAAATTGTTATTCAGAGTTAGGTCTCCACTGAAACAACGTTAACAGCATACGTTTCTTGAGCTGTGCCCTGTTTACCGTAAGAAATGACAGAATTTGTGTCATGAACAACCTCTTTTTATAAATTTTTTGAAGTATACTCATATTTACACAATATAAATGAAAATAATCACCTCATTTTTAACATTTCACATTTTAAATACATATGTTCAAGTCTTCACACAGTGCCTCAGCACATTAACAAAGCCTAAACAAGCAGTGTAATGTTTGTTATGTAGTGATACTGAGTATCTGCAATATAAGTTTCAGCATAGAATGGCAAACATTTCTGATTTTGACTCATGTAAAATTGTCTAAAGCGAAAAGCAACATGGCTCAAAGAACCACAGAAAAAGGAATCTTTTCTGTGCCACAGGTAAATAAGAAAGGTTATACCCTGGAAGGAGAATTCTCAGGCTCTGAAGAAAGGTATATGCCTTGTGTTAGTGAAATTTTAGAGAGCTGACTTATGTATTTGATCTCTGCTTTTACTGAAGTCTCCAAAGAAATGCATCTTAAAAGACTAAGTAAATCCAACAATGGAAATAATTCAGAGTGCAGGCTCACAACAGTATTTTAAGAAATCATAAACTTACCTTCCATGGACTTAAAAACTGGGTACGCGCATACCGAGTTAACATGTGGATTATAACAACTTGACCCCACTCTTCCACATCAACCAGCAAGTTACAGAGCTTTCGGTAGTTCTTGTGAATCAGATCTATTCTATCTGGACACACTTCCTCAAACGCCATCACCACACTCCCAGCTACCAGCTAGAAAACAAAATATAACCCAGAAGGTCAGTATCAGGTATACAGTTAGACCACAAGTGAGAATCAGAATTAATACTAGCAATTATCAGCAATTTAAAATTATTTCTATTCAGCAAAAACAAACAAAACAACAACAACAAAAAAGTAAACCCACAGAAATGGTATCTTATTTAAAATAGAATTGGGGTAAGGTTATTAGAACAGAGAAAACACTTGCTATTTCTATTGCAGACATAAATCTTAGCTCCCAGTCCTGGAGACACAGTGCAATGTAAGCATAATTTTTTTTTTTCTTACAGATACAGCTTCTAAATAAATTAACAGAGAACTTGCAATTAACTCAAAAGTAACAGGGAACAACAAGAAGTAAAATATATGCCCAGCAATATCTTTTGGGATTCTGTCAACACTGGCCTGGTCAAAATAAAGAAGAACTGGGCCAAGTTCCCCGGGCATTACTGGAATTCAAACTTCTCTCTCAATATGGCAAAATTAACTGTCACAGAAAATTTTATATTTAGAGTTTCATGAACACACTCCTCCCCCTCACCCCCCAAATAATTTCTGTCTGTTGTTTAGCACTTCCTTAACAGTTACATAATTGAAGGAATGCATCATTTATATCCTGCTATGTTCTCACACAATTTTTTGCCTTCATAAGAAACCTCTATTCAGGCATAAAGATCAACATGCTATGACTACAAAACAGCTTTGTTTTTATGAGAAAATTAAATACATTATCAACATTCTAACACCTCAAGGATAACTAAAATCTTCTGCCTGGGTATTTTCTTTTAAAATAATGGGAGGAAATGTATATTGGAGTTCCGGTTAAAATTCTGTCAGCAGGTTACTTTAACTGCAAGAAAAGATCAAAAGCTGACCATGCCTTATAAGGACATATAATTGTGTGCCTAAGATTAGTGTTCTTTCTTTTCTAATTGCTTTAATTAAGATTTGTTTTGTGTCAGAGTACATGTTAAGTCAAATAACTAAAATGATGATACTTTATATGAAGCAGCTGATATGTATGCAGTTAGCATGCATGCAGCACAGCCTTCTGGCAGCAAATTAATGTCATATTCTATCCGAGCACCAGGGATCTGCATTTCAACCTCTATAATTTCCCCAATGACTTAAAGTAAGCAATTAAATAGAAGTGCAGTTTATTGAAACAGTACTTTTTGAGAAATATTAAATACAATGATATTCATATGTTACATTTTTCTCCCTGTATTTGGCTGACATGTGGTTTATTAGTATGCGCTCAACATTACAACTGAAAGAAAACAGCACAGAAGATAGTCTTGCTATTATGCTAAACAAGTCTCAGGCTCTGTGGGGATTTTATGAATTACGAATAAGAATAAACGTGAAGTTGCATTTATTGTCTCCAGCCTCATCCACATACTGGTACCTGCTGGTCCCAACAAGAATGCAACTCATTCCAAGGAACAAAATCTGATTATTTGACAGAGCTAAATATACTTTACATCTAAAATAATTTGCTGTATCATATAAACAAAAGCTCTCTTTTATCTGTTGTTGCACTAAACTTTCTTCTTAATAATAGGTTACCGATAGAGCACATCTGTATTTAAAAACTGTGGAGAGCTGATGATAAGGTGGGTGCTCAAAGCTCAGCAGAAGGCGGTGGTTAATCCCAGACCTGTCCTGAGCAGGTATTCATTTAGGCCACAGAAGCTGTGAAGCTTTCCCATCAGAAAAGTGCAAAATCCTTTTATCAGAATGCAGAACTCTGAACTACAGTTAAGGTCAGCTTGCAGAGGACAATATGACAGACTTGAAGTTTTAAAAGACAGACATACTACTTTAAGACCACACAGAGAGACTTTTTGTAGGTTACTGTTTCATAGAGACAAGGGAGATTGATACATATCAGTTTATGACTATCAGAACAGTCTCAGTCTAATGCTTAAAAATACCCTTTTAGGTTCATAGGTGAAGGTCAACACAGATTTCCAACAGTAATTCTAAAGACAGCACCCTTGTCTTTTACTACTAGTAGTTCAGTACACACATTTTGCTGTATTTCTTTTTCATTTGGATATGATTTATCTTGAAGGCTGACCAAAAAATACATACAACACTAATTCAGATAATTTAAAACTTATAATATATCCTATAAACACTGCTGTTTTTTAAAAAGTTCAGTTACTATAAATAAAATACAACAACTTGATACAAAGAACGAGTCAAAATGGAATACAGGAATTTGAAACAATTACTAATTTCAAATTACATCTATCTCCTACTCAAGTTTACAATGACCATGCTGTCACTTGTGAGCACTTAGACATTAGTAAAAAAATTGAACCTATGCTATGAAATGCAAGAGGTGCATTGGATAAACAAGCACTTTATTCCTGTGGCAAGTCCCTAAATTTACAAGTTAATATAGGAACTGCCATTCATCATGACATTATTAAGATCATGCCTCTCTCCCCATTACTGTCTTTTCTAAAATTTGGCTTTTAATCCGAAAGTGGAAAAAAAGGTAAGAATGTGATAGACTGAAAATGCATTGGTAACAAGCAGATTTCTCTGAGAAAATTTTCTAAGGCTTTCTCAATAAGAGATTATTTTCTAGCCTACACTGTTTCCCCTATAGTATGATCCTACTATATATCTAAACATCAGGGAAACAGCTAATAATCTGTGTTTATTAAATGCTCAACATTCCATAAAAGTATTTAAAATTAAAACAAAATGATTCAATCAGAATATAAAACCAAAAAATATCAGTTTCTAAAAAACAGTCAGTTAATTTCCATCTCACTGTGTCAATAGTAGCTTTTTGTATAAGGAGAAGATATAAATCACTCCAACAAAACTAGCAATGAGCTCATCAAATTCAAATGCTGCTTTCCATTTATGTATTTTTAATATTAAAGCAATAAACATGGTTCATTTGTCTTCCACTAGATGCCACATTTTTCTGTGCTGTTGCTATGAACTTCAGCCATTAGCTGTGCTCCAAGGTAAACTATATGAACCATCAACAAAAGTGACACCCAATCTATGGAGTTCATATTTTCTCCAGATTATCTATGCTAGTTGACAAGCTGGTAATGAAAAAAATCACACTAAGCAAATGGTTCCTCTAATAACAATAAATTTTCTATAAAATTATGAAGGGTACAAAACGTTTCCTTGCATCTCTTTTGTCATGAATTCTAATTAACGTTGTGAAAACCTGAGAGTGCTGGGTCATCACAAGAAGTGCATCGAGGTTTGATTGATAATACAGTGCAAGTTGGCCCATGCTGCCACAATTCTTCTCTCTTAAATTAATGGCCACCCCATCTGCCCTAATCATACAGCCCAAATGATATTCCCCTTCTTATTTCAATTTTCTGGAGGCAAGGAAAGAGGAAAAGATCAGTCATTTATCTTCTAATAGCTGGATAATAGATCTATCACAACAAAACATCTGCACAAACTCAGTAATTTTTTCCACAAAATTGAAGCATTTACCATCATAAAATCAATAAGTTAAGAAAACATTGTCTTACCCACACATTTGGGTTCTAAACTAAAATATTACTTTATCAGCTGAAGACTACTGTCGAAGAGTACCCAGCTTTCTTTCCCCTTTATGCCTAAATACACTGCTTTAGTGTAAGAGTTAGATCTTCATCACAAAGCCATCACCAATTCCTAGGATGATCTTTTAATCAAAGGAATGTCACTGAGGAACAATCTGCACTTTATCTGGTAGCCATGCAGTCTGCAAAAGAAATCTCTATACTCACATATTTGCATCTATACTCACATATTTACATCTATACTCACATATTTGCATAAGGTCTTTTCACCCCAAAAATGTTAATGCAAAGTTACATGTTATTACTAATAGAAAATTATAACACCCGAACAAAATAATAAATTCATTATTAAAGAGGTATGTACCCATACAAAATAAAATATACTCAAAGCTACAGATGCAAATCAGCAATATATTTGGGCATTTTTAATATACCCATCCTCCATACAACTACATCCCAACTACATCCTGCCTTTCCTTTAGTAAGGAAGTTTTTAATATACCTGGGATACTTTAATTTAGACTGTGGAATGCAAGTCACAAGTTCTTTTTGCTTTACAGGTTTGGATAACATGCATGATTAATTTTCAATGCCAATATTCAATGCCAATATGGATTTTATTTTTCTTTAACCTGCTATAACTCAGATATCATTAATGAACTTCATTTTCATTGTTGTTTACTTAGCATTGTAAAACACACAGGCTGCTAACTACAGTCCTTCACAGTATCTTTTTCTTCCAAAAGGAACTTTTGCAACAAATCTTGCCTTAAACCCTATGCGTTAAAGCTAGGTTATCATGGAATAGAAAAAGAGAATTAGAGCGAAGCAATACAGAATAGACTAAAAAGAAAAGGGAACTAGTTTGCTCCAAAACACCCAGCTATACTTTCACATATGACTAGCCATATTACTTCCCGAGAAAAATAATTTTAGCATAGAATACAAGCATAGTCTTATCTTTCCTTCTACATAAAATTGCGTCACCTGCTCAGCTAGAGTGATTTACTAGAAAAACAAAAGGAGCAGGTATTCATGCTCTTGTACCTGCTTATAAATATGTTAGGTACTTGTTAACCAAGGGTAAAAACATAACTAGGAATTTATAAGCCTAAATAATAAAAATACTTATAAACATCTGTTTAAAATTTAAATACACTTGCAAAAAGTCACAGATTTGTTGATAGATTCTAATTCCTAAATCAGCTACCCTTGAGGGTATGTTAACAATGGCTTGCACTTGATATTTTTGCATTTTAGATTAACCAAAAGCTTGCGTTTTAATTGAATCTTTGTGTTAAGACAGTCTAGGAATAGAGTGATTTTTCATTTATCTCACCAGAAATTTTAATGAAGTGCTGGGTTAAGGTTACATCTCATCTCATTTTAAGTTTTGCTTACTTCAGCTTATATTAAAATTTACTACCGATTGAGATCCAAAAAAACCCCACATCTTATGCTGTCTAAAAATTATTTAATTTTTCTATAGTAATATTCTCCTCCAGATAATGCCTTGCTATTTCGAATGTAAAATTACTCTGGCTAATTGAAATACATTGAGTCTTTTCCGTGCAACAAAAACTGCATTAGAGACATACAACAGCATGTTCTCTCTGAAAAAACTTCCTGGTTTACAGAAATTTAGAGGCATCTACACGTATTAGCTATTTTATCTCTAACATAGAGATTATGGTAGTAAATTTCAAAAATCCTGCTTGAGGTCAAATAGCTATGGAAAATGAACAGATTTTGAGTAAAAGTTTACTTTTCAATAAAATACAGTGTCAAATATCACCTGAATAATATTAGACTGTTATGTACCTAGTTAATATTACTAATTACATTCTCCCTCCAAACATGGATCAAAAAAATCAAACTGATTAAAAGAAAAAATATTTAAAACATTATAATCAAAATAACCAATAATCAATCAACAGTGGATTATTTCAGATACAGTGGTTAACATACCAGTGGTTAACATATTATGGCTTGTCTCAGAATTATCAGCCCTTAAATACATAGAAATACAAAAAGTAACTTGACATTTCCATCAAGTGAACAAAAGTGGAAAACCATTGATATTCAACTAAGTCACTAGGACTCTCCAAGTCAGGTAAAAAACTATTTAATGAACATACTGATTCACTGACATTAGATTAGAGCTAGCAAGAGATGGCAACTAATATTAATGTAAGGGAACAGCTCTGCATTTAAGTAGAAGGAATCCAAAGGTCAGTGTCAAATATTTGTGGTTCCAGTTACACATTATCACCCTAGTGATTTCAGGCACTCTGACTGTCAAACAGAGAACATGAGCTGCAAAAAGCTGAGACATTCCACTAATCAATTCTTCAGCAAGACTGTAAAATACATAAAAATGACAAACACTTTTAGAAAGTATATTGAAGGAGCTTTCTCTTTTAGGAGAAGTGTATGAAGTAAAGCTTCCCTCAAAGAATTCAAAAAGATGAATCAAATTAACACAAATTTCCCCAGGATGCATCCTTATTAAACCTATAAAGTCGACAGCCTAAGGCCACACCTGTACTTAAGGACCACGACCTATAAGCAGCTGCATCTCCTCCAATTTTAAAGTCTGAATCTAGCAACAAATGTCACTCTTGATTTCCACACTGTGAGCAAACTGCTATTTTCCAATTAGGGCAAAGAATAAGCTTATTCAGATTGGAGTTACCGGCTAACAAAACTCTTGTGCACTATGCATGTTCTGTTAGTAAACATGGAAGCTTTCTGGGAATATTTAGTGGTACATGACAAAAGAGAACTACTTAAGATAAAGCTTTGCCACGCTAAAGTAGTGCTTCCAAAACGATGAAAGATTAATAGAGACTGATCCATTTTAGACCACCACAAGCTGTGGAGTCTGGGGTGAAAGAGCACACTTAGATGCAGAGAGCCTTAAAAAGAGGTATGTATGTTTTCTTTCTGAAATAATTAGTCTTCGTATTAGTTCTCAAAATCGTAAGACTTCTGAAGCTGAGATGTCAGCTCAGACAGGAATCAGGTCTCATTAGCGAACAGACAAAGAGGAATCAAAGGGAGCAAAAAGTTGTTGCAGTTAACCAAGTATGTCTCCAAACAAATCCAGCAGACCTAAGTCCAGTCTATCATTTTCAGCTACTGCTTCAGCTGATATCTTTATAAGTACAGGGTCCAATACACAGTGTATGCGCCCAATAGGCAATGAGCCCATTATCTCCCCATAAGTAATTCCAAACTCCAAGGAGATAAAAGATCCAAATCTACTCTGTACTTTTTTGTTAAAGTAAATGTGTAAATGACTAGGCATAGGATAACCATTTACCCTATGCTATAAGGCTCAGGATATAGAGTACAAATTCAGAGATTTTACTTTTTTTGGGGTATTTTTTAGCCCTTTATTCCTCCACTGGTACTAACAACCTAATCCCACATTCACAGACTGCATGTATACTATGAGCACAAACCATGAAATAAAATACATGAACAACCACTGCAGGCGCAGCTTCACAGGAGCTCAAAGGCCTCTGTCAAATCAAGCACAGATGCAGTCAGGAGACCTAACTGATTCACCGTCTGTTCAGCCACTATGCCCTAACACACCTCTTTCAGTAACCCTTCGGTGACACTTACAGGATGTCTTTTAGTCAACAGCACCTTTTATGCTCTGAACACCTTGACTGCGCTAGAAGAGGATACAGCCCTGGATACTGTAACCTGGAGGATACAGTTGAGTTACAAAAACACTTGGAAAACAGCAGATGAAGCAATACACTACCTGGTATCTAGTAAAATTTTCACATAGTCAAAAAGGATTAAGTAGTGATCTGAACAAGAAGAACATGAGAATGTTTTAATTCACAAATCTGGTTTCTCTTTGAAATCTAACTTTGATTCTTTGGTCAATTACCTTTCTAGTTCACAAGTGGGGAACTTATCTGCAAAACAAAATGAACTGAAGATTGTGGAGTAGATTCAGGAGTACATATGAAAAACCTGTAGCTATATAGGGCAGGTTAAATACAACAGGAGTGTTAAATTTACAGAAGTTATGTCAGAACATCTCTTATTTACTAGAGTGGAAATCGAGATACCGGCAAGAACAAACTGCACAGCAAATATAATTTTTAACATTCATGCACACTTCAAGATAGATGGATGTCAATAGGCACACTGGGCACCATACACAAGTAATTTATTCCTACACTACTACAAACTAACTGAAATTATCAAACTAATTTCCCAATAAAAAAAGTGCATATGAAAATTTATAAACACTCGCACACTGATTCATATTATTATATAATTTTGATTTTCAAAATAAAGTTTAAAGAAGCACACATAAAACACATGCTAAAAAAACTAATTAACAGCCTCATGATGCAAGTAAAACTACATCTTATTAAAGGATAGTCACTATTACATTCATACTATAAATGCATAAATACACAATGATACTTATGTCTAAAAACACACAAAGTCACATTGACAAGGGTTAGGAAAGTGTATTACTTACTGCTGAATGACAGCCTCAGGAGTAAACCCTATAAAAATAAATGTGTATGTCACAAATCTGTTTCTTACCGTACTTCTATCCTTCAAAAGCTTTTCTATCACTTCAATCAACATTTCCTTTTGCTCTGGATCAAGACTAGGAGGAAAAATAAAATTATTTTAACTGACTTGGTCAGATATACCCAAAATTAAAGCAGGTTTGATTTTTGACCTTTAGACACAAACTAGCAACAAAGAACTTTGAAGAAATCACTTCCAGAAAAGCAAGTATTCCAAAGAACGCACTGTAAAAGAACTTGACTGAAAGTAAGTTAGAAGTATAAAATTAAATTAAAAATATAATTTTATCTTAGACCCTTTATGTGTATTCTATAAGAAACTAAAACTCATAAAAAATCATTAAGACAGGCTAACCAACATCACAGAGAACGTGACTGAACTTCAGAAGCTACGTGACAAGGTTCTTACTGCTCTTGCAGAAATTAATTTCAGCATGAATATAATTCAGAGGTGAATGAATATCAGGACAAAGATTTTTTATATACTTTTATTATCTAATTATCAACATAAAGCTTTGAGTAATACACTTCAACCACTTTTAAGTTAAACACTAGTTTTAGTCAGAAGTATTGGAACTCAGAAATGTGGACATGATATTCAAGTGTACCTGTACAAAGCTGGTGTGCAAGCTAACGGAAAACAGACTGCTTGAAGTCTAGAATAGCAAAAGCAGAGAAAAAGCAAAACTTGCAAGCAACAACCTTTGTGGTATCTTTTCACATCACAAGAGCAGAGAAAAATTTGCCAGAGATGTCCACTACTGTCAAACTTGCTTCTTAGGCAAGTAAGGACAAACTTTTCATTCCAGCTGCTTCCCCTTCATGGATCTATACAGCACAGAAGAATTTAAAGCCAAGTCAAAAGAAAATAGAAAATGAATACAAAGACCCTTAGAGAAGTGTAGTTCTGTGCCTTTGAAAAGTCATTTCAACATGGATACAACTACAGGTAAATGAGGGAGTATTTGGTCATCATTGCATACTTCAATTTTAATGCTGAGTGATCGACTGCCCTAATGCACAGTATATCATTCCAGGTACAGATACACAAAGTCATTATCTGGCTGAGTACTACTTCACTAAGACTCTAACACTTAGCAACATCAGAACATGCAAAATGAGTAACAAAAATTTGTTAGAAGCCACCATCATCATAATCAACACAACCGTACTTAGTTTTTTAAGTACTTACATGATCACTTTTCATTCCAACTTCTATTTTTGTAAAGCAAGTTTTACTGGATCTTCTGTTAAGGACCAAAACCTTCAGAGGAAAAGTCTCTCAAAAAGGTTTTATTTCAAATTTTTAAAAACTGGCAGAAAATTTAGAGAGAAAGTAATACTTAAAGCTAAAAAAACTTCAGCAAAACCATTTATTTATGTGATCAAGAAAGACTTCAGAAAGTTGTGAATGAATGTATTTACATTCCTCTCCCTCCACTGTCCTGATATTTAAGACAAGGAGGGGACCATTTTCAAAGAGAAAATAAAAGAAGAGGCCAAAGAGGTCTGTGATTTCCTCCTGTTATGACACTAAATAAAGGGAAGACTGGAGTATCGAACTTGTATCCAGAACCCTGACTAGAGTACTAACTGAAATAGAGAACTATCAAACAGGCAGAGAAGCTGGGAAAACCAAAAAGCAAATGGAGCATACAAACATATTAGAATAAATAGTTACTAGTTCTTATTCAAATGGCTGCAGAAGATGGAGTAGCTAGATGCAGGAGAGTGTATTATCTGTTGAGTTTTACTTAAAAAACCCATTCCTTCTGGATTCTGATTCCAACCAACTCAAAAATTAGTATTCTGAAATGACTTCCTTGTTGCAGTAGGCCAAAAGTCAGCCTTGCCACCAATGTATGATCAGTAATGCAATGATTCAGTATTGCTGAATTGTCTAGCTATCAGTCATTAACTTTTTTAAACAAAGTATACAAAGACAGCTTGTTAACTACTACCTAATTCTTACTTTCTGTCAAGCCAACTGAGTCTGCCTGCGGGCAGGTTAATTTGATAGCCTCTTCACCAGTTTCCTATACTGTTGCTTCCTCCAGTGACCAAGAAAATTATATTCTCTCCCTTGGTTCCATAGTTAACTAGCACTATGAGATACAGGATTTGTATTGTAAGTTTTGAAAATGTGAAAATAAAAGTTCACACGCTTTTTATAAACAGCTTCCAAATCCTGTTACTAAGGACACAATTTTTAACTCCAGCTCCACTCAGAAGTAATCACGAAGCTTACTCTAGTCCAGGTAAGGAGGAATTTCCAGCTACAGCAGCTCAAAATCTTGTATCATGATACTTAGGATGCTTGCATGAAGACAGCTTTTGAAGGATGCACCCTCTGAGACCGTCTGAACCATTAAGGAAACAGAACATCAGTTTCATTAGTTTTCCTTTGTCATGTTAGCTCCATGTCCATTTCACTACCACTAGGAATACATGGAAAATAGAAGGAGATAGGCCAGTTTCTCCAGATTCTGTTACTGTGTTTTTTACCTGATTCAGAACCTCTAACATCTCTTAATCTCCACTGTTTGGAATTGGTGAAATAAAAGTGAAGCAGTAGAATAAATGCCTGGAAATGTTTTGTAAAGGTACGGGTTCCATTGACACCACCTCTGCAAACCAGTACCCACATCTTTATAAGAACTCGTACAAAGCAAGAATTTCTGAAGTAAGAAGATCTGAAAGATTTTGACTTGCACAGATAAAATTTCTAGACGTGAGCATTCTTTTGTCACATGTGTGGCAAATTACTTTCAGGCAAATGCCCAAGGATGAAAGATACATACGTGAAGCAGTGAATTCATAGATTGTGTGAATATCCACTAAAATAGTTGTTACACAGATGAAAATAACTAGTATCTTAAAAAACAAAAGGTAGTGCATCAGTTTCTTTTTGTATCTCTTTATAGTAAGCCTGTTAAGTCCAGGAATCAAGAGAACTACCTGAATTACAACCAAACCAGCTGAGCGACAGAATGTCTACATCCATCCCACAATTTTAAAGAAATACATCTGAGACATGCTAAATTCACAGTAGTCTTTATAAACATAGCCCACAACTATTGCAAATTGTTTTTCAGTAATTGCCAGAAACACTTACCTGTACAGTTTTTGGATTGCATGGGCTGCATTTTTTCTCACATAAGGAGATAAATCAGAAGAGGCTTCCTTAATAGCAAGCATCATAATAGGAACAATAATTGGGACACGTATACTGGATAAAACTCTTAAAGCACTTGCACGGATTAACTGATTAGGATCCTAAAAAACAGGAGTGAAGGGGTGAAATAAAATAAGATAGTGCAGAAACAAGTCATTAAATACACTGCTGTGCTTACACTAATTAGTGATGACACATTAAAACATGCAAATCTAAGTCAGACTTGCAAGTGAAGGTCATGCTAACAACTTCTTCACACAAAGGTATTTCCAAAACAACAAAAAAAAGTAAAACAAATAAAGAGATAGAACATTAAACATTAAGAAAATATGAAAATTTTACAAAGGAAAACATTAACATCATGGAATTTTCCAGAAAAAAAATGTTAATTGTGGATAAAAATATGAATATTTTATTTAATAATCTCATACATTTGCTGCAATTCAAGTGGAATTCAGATATTCTGAGAGACAGACTAACTCAATTTTAGTGCCTGTATTTACAAAATGCCAAATAAAAATGTTATTCTCAGTTGTGACATTCCCATTCAAGTTTTTGACAAATATCCATTCTATGCTTTATTGCTAGCTATAAATTGAAGTCAGTAACAAAAATAATTTCAAAGAACATGTCAAAATATTCAGCTAAATGTTTTGAGATTTCTTTCTATTTCTTATCCTCTCTTCTTCTGCGCCAGTCCTTTGGTCAATTTTACAATACTAGGGGTTAGCCTGGAGATCCAACACATCTGTATTTGGATGAACTATTATGTAAACATATTCATTAATCATGAGGTTTGGAACACAAGGGAAAAATGTTGCTTAATCAAGTACTAAATCCCCTGAAATCTAGAAAAGTGAAATTACAGCATTACTAATTCACCATACTGTACAATGTCTTGCAATAAGGTAAACTCCCAAAGATCATTTCTCCCAAGGACCGACAGCGGGCAACACATATTTTCACACTGGTATTACCTAATTATCAATTAAACTAAGATCTCAAAATCCCTGCATCTTAGAAGCTTCTAAGTACTAAATATCTGGATGGTGAAAGCTCTTTATTTGACTATTTCTGGAAAAAGATCTTGTTCCTACTAGAGTCCGCAAAGCTCATCTGCAGCCACTTTAGTTTAAAATAAAAAGTTCCTTCAACAGTGGGAGTTAAAAAAAAAAATCTCCACACATAAAGCCAAATTAGAATCATTATAAAATGAGAAACAAAACATTACAAAAACCAAACAGAGACCTATCTTTCATAGCAGGCTTAGTAATTTCCTTAGTTGCTGACAATCTCCACTATTTGGTGTCTACCCCCTTGTCTCAGCACCAGTTCTTTTTTTGCTACTCAGCCACAACATTATCACTCCTCCCTCTGCACTCATTACTCACAGCTTTTAAAAGAGTCATGCCATGAGGAGTGTTCACTGTATACATATATCACAAAAAACACTGGATACAAAGCCATTTGAATTCTAGCTTTTTGTGGCTATCAGATAGTGAAGGCAGTACATATGACATTGGGATGAAAGTTCAAGGGAAGGGGACAGAAAACTCTCTAGTCGATGTGAGATCCTCCTACAGCTGCACAACTGGTGCTCTGATCGCAACATTTTCCAACAAGATGCAAGGTGTGGGTTAAGTAACATAACTGAAATGAACCTAGAATACAAGAAGAGTACACAAAAAGCCCAATCTTTTCTTATTATAAAAATTGGCCAAATTTCAGAACAGAAACTTAATAAATCTTTCTTCTCTCCACAGTCACACTTCAAAGTCAATCCTAAACTTTGCTGTTTAATCCCATTTCTCATTGTTATCTCATTTGAAACAAGAGTACAAAAAGCTACTTTTTCTGTGTTTTTAATGAAAAAGTATCATGTGCAAGGCACCGAAAATTTTAATTTAGGTACTACTGTCTTCCTTATGTTTCAATTCTCTGTTGTACACAAAGCTCATTTTTTGACCTAAACTAAAAGGAATATAGGTGGTTCACGGTAATAACGGGTCTTTTTTCCATACATACAAGTTACGTTGGAATGAGAAAAGTCATTCCAGAAATTAAATATTTGGCATGTCGATTTGAAAGCACCATTCTGCTGTTTTTCTTAAGTGAAGCAATTTTAAGTCTTTCAGGCTTACTTAGCTGCTTGACAAGGTTTGAGGTAGAAGAAAAAAAATACGTCGATCACGTAACTTAAAACTACTTTAGCAGATGTAGATATTTACATGCTTTAGTTTACCATACTACACTTACACAGATATATTTTTTTTGTGCTACCAGCTACAAATTACCCATAAAATGTTATTTAGTAGTCACTCACTTTCAAAGCACGCTGGAAAGTACTGATGGACAATAATGCTAGATCTTGCTGCTCCTCTGCGTAGCGCATCAGATAAACATACACAAGCTTTTTTATCTGAAAAGAAAAAACACAGTGAATTTCACTATGAGCAAGTTTTATAATTCTATAAAACTAGCTTCTAGATTTCACATTTTTACCAACATTTTCTTCTAAGAAAAATCTAATAGATCCCAGAGCACCCACGTGCTTCTCCCAACGTCTTATGAAACGCCTGAGGTGCTGCATGCTACCTAATTAATTAAACAGTCAGATGAAGAGTAGTAACACAAAGTTCCGCTTTATGTTATTAACTAGTAAATTAAGACTATAATAAACTAAGATGCTGACATGGGGAAACTGATCACTTGAGCATACTTTTTTTTTCTTATAGAAAGTAGTTTAAAGTGAAATAACCAAGAATTTCAACAAGACCATTTTATTTTACCTTGAAACTCAAAATAAATTACTTTAACACATTTGAAAGCGAATATAACTTAAAGATTAACTGTGGTAACTTACTTTCAAATCTGATTATCTTGGATGAAAACAAAGGATGTTAGACTCACCTCTGCATGACTACAAGCATTCAAAAGATGCAATATAAGCAAAGCATACTACAAAGGATACAATGTCCAAAGATTAAGAAAACCTCAGTATGATTTTGGGGAGGAGGGTATTCAATTTAATTCACTTTACCACAGGAAAGTTTAATTCACTTTACCCCAGGAAAGTTTAATTCACTTCATATCCAGGAAGCAGTGAAAACATTTTTTTACATTTGAGTAGTAAACTGACTGTTGGGGTTTATAATGGAAAATTCTGAAAGACCCTCAACTACAGCTGTGCTAATAATTGCTGTCACTATCAGAAGACCTATCTTTGTGCCAATTCTGGCAAAAACCCATAATATTAAATCACAGACGGTTACACCACGCTAAATTATTTTTTGTTCAGTTAGAGAAGTAGCAATCAACATTGACCACAAGAGGCCTGTGCACTGAATGACTGCAGGTGTGCAAAGAAAGCCTCCTTTCCTTGAAACCACTCTGTGACTAGAAATGGAAGCACTCAGAGCTCCGTGACTACACTATTCTTTTACCATTTACCTTCATTCAATGTTAAAATGCTCTGTTCTATAAACCTAATCATAACAGGGGCACATTAGGCTTGAGGAACACAGGCAGATTTGTTTAATTAATTTATCAATATAAGTACATATAAATCCATGAATTATTGATGAAGACTTAATTTTTGTTCTATACCACCAATTGTTTATTAGGTCACTTTTTGTATCCTTACCAAGCATGACTTAGTGCATATAATCAAGCTGAGGTCAGCATGCAATTACAACAAAAAAATCATAAGGCACTTCTGTAAACAATAAGGTGCCCTTTGCATCTCTTAAAATAAATTCACATATTATACCACCTCTTCATCTCCATTTTCTTGCATCAGAGCACTGAGCCCTGATTTTTAAAAAATATAGCAGCCATTTCTGGGCAGAAAATTCAGGAAAATGACATGGATACAAAGAATGTTTTGTATCCAGAATTACGGAATTTTTATCCACAGAATTACAGAATGTTGGAAGGGGCCACAAGGATCACTGAGTCCAACTCTTTGACAAATGGCCCATACAGGGATGAACTCACAACTTTGGTGTTTTTAGCACCATGCCCTAGCCAACCGAGCTACTCTCAGGGTTACTCAGATAAATCAGTGTATTTTAGGCTACTGCCTTGCAGCAACTTTAACAGACAGATTTGGTTAAGAATTCTTAGGAATAGGGAAAAAGTTGGCAAAACATTTTCAGGAAACAGGATCAATGCACTAAGAATTGGACTTAATCTAGTAACTTCTCATAAAGCATCCTATGTAATGGACCATGATAAAGTTTCTGAGACAGAAAACGTCTAACTAGATGGCTACAAGTACATCTACACTACAAATTAAACTTGTCATCTAACTCAAATTGATAGAGAAATTTGTCAGATGGCTTTACTAAATATCCTGATCTCTGTTCAGTTTAACAGTCTCTTCCTTCACAAATATGTTAGCATTAAGTGGTGGAAAAATGGGTAAGTAGGGAAGTTTAACTACAGCACAGCTGATGACATGTGAGTTCACATAACTGTCTATTTGTTTTACAATAGGAGAAAAGGTCCATAAAATATAAACAGTGGAAAGCTTCTACTAATAGTGTTTGGTTATGTGATTAAGACCTCATATTCACACCCACAAAGCATCCCTCCCACACGGGGGATGGAGGGATGTGTGCACACATCCCTCTAGTTTCTCCCAAGCCCATAACAGGAACCATCAGCTCAGAGATGCAGAAAGAAACAAAATAATAGGAGGGAAAACATATTTAGGACTCAGAGAAAGGATACCCTATCACACTCCTCCCAGAAAAACCTCAGGAGGGCTGCACCTCCTATGTCCAGGTGTTAAAACCACCAAAAATCAACAAAGACTAGAGCACCTTTCAGACTGAAGGTGTTTACATGTACAGAAATGGGACACAGATGAAAAGTATTTTAGACATGACATGGGACGTTCTGGGGAAGAACTAAA